GTCTCAAAACAAGATCAAAAATACTTTTTGGCTGGATATAAGATTTTAAAACTTGGTAAGGTGGACATTTTTTGCAGTGTAAGAACTGAACAAACACACGCAGAAAATTACAAAAAAAAAAAAAATGTAAACCTTAAAACCAGCTAGGTTTTAAGGTTAAGGTTTATTTAAAAAATAAAAAAATAAATAAAAACTTTGATGCCCTAGTTCTCTGCTCTCTTTATACCTGTGTGAGGCCCAGTTGGGGTGCATAAACGGTGCTGGAACGTTGTTCTCCAGCTGGATGATGGTGAGTCTCAGTGTGGAGATGGTCAGAACCTTAGAGCCGTGAATAGACCCGTTCCATTTAAACTCTCCCGCTGTCGTCATGCAGAACTTGTGGGAGAGATGTCGCCTCTTGTCGTGGTCCTAAAAAAATAAATAAATAAAAGAAGAAATGCAGATTAACCATCTAAAAATTAAATCTGTTCTACAAAAGCTACATAAAAAAGTCAAGCCTGTTGGACACAAGTTCAAATGATTTCTTAGAATTTAAATAGTGTTGTTTTTTACTTGTATGTCTTGACAAAAATGATCGAACAAACCATAAACACGGTCTTCCAGCTACTAAAGGTGTATTTTGTGACACGTGATAGTTAATGGTAAAGGTGAATCCTGCTACTTGCCTCTCTGTGCTGGTGCTTGTTGAGGGCCAAAAGATTGGCGCTGAACTGGTTGTGGTAGACGCGGTACTTGCCCTCCTGGCCGAGCTTGAAATACTGGCTGATGGTCCCCTTCATCACCACCTCCTTGCTGCTGCGTGTGCTGACCCGGGTGATGTCGCCTTGTGCATTCACAACCAGGACCTACAGAAGTAACCATAAACACATCTGAAATCTGCATATCTGTAACCGAATGTTTTCAGTTTGGCTCTAAGTGTGTTTTTCCATCTAATGTTTGAGGAGAACATTGGGCCTCATGCAAAAACATGTTCATATTCTTATCCTAAATTTCTCTTATTTTAGTTCGTACGAAGGGTTCGTACGAACATGCCACGTCAGATTCAACAAACTCTTCTATCTTCAGGAAAAGTGTGTAAATGAGCTGCGTAAACCGATGAATGCGTATCAGGTGCTCGCGCACGGGGAGAGGAGATCTGCATAATTACCAACCCAAAAACACCATATAAGGCTACATTTCCTGCCTCAGATATCAGGAAGAGTCCATTCATGAAAATGGCAGCAAAAACTAAAAAGAAGAACTTTATGAGTTCAGAGATTGAAGTCCGTCTGTCAGAGATCCAGAAAAGAAAATCTGTCATTTTTAGCAGGTCAGCTGTGGAATAAAAAGAGCTGCTAAAAGTATAAACAACTGTGTTAAATCGTTTTCATTTATTCAGAAGCCACACCATCTCGCACCGTACCCCCACGTGGTCGCAAGTGGTGTCAGTTGCGGTTCTGAAATAAGCATTTTAAAATGTTTTCAAAWTATGTCTGGCACTTTGGAGAAAATCCAGGACTCGCTGGAGGGATTGTGTATCCCCTCTGGCCTGGGAACTTCTCAGAGTCCCCCAGAACGAGCTGGAAAGTGTCGCTGGGGAGAGGGAAGTCTGGGTCTCTCTCCTGGACTTGTTGCCTCTGCGACCCGACTACGGATAAGAGGAAGAAGATGGGAGATGGAGACTTTGGAGAAAATAGCATAGCTGATGTGCTAAATAAATCTCAACAAAATAAAATTTGATTTAAAAAAACATCTGGCAAGATAATTATATACCGAGACAAATTAAACTTCAATTAATGCATAGTTTAAGTTGGTTTGTAGTTTGAGATCTTCATATAAATATCGTAGTTTTATACAACAGCATTAGCCATTTTTTAAATTTAAACAACTTATATTGTTAGTCTAAATTATTACATTTAAATCTATTATTCTAATTCAAACAGAATAGCCTATTGTCAAGACAATCATAGAGTGTGATTTATTTTCAACTCAAAATATCTTCAAACTAATGAAATATAAATTTAGTAGTGAAGAAAATCAGTCTAGATAACAGCAGACTGACTGCTYGTAAAATATACGACAGGTCTGGACCACTCGTGAATTTCGTTTGTATCTAGGGCTGCCAAGATTAGTCATTAAAATAAGCGATGACTAATTTAATAATCGATTAATAGTTTTCTTTTTTTTTTTGTTCTTTACTTTGTTTTTCTCTCCAAACTGCTTTGACACCTTCCACTGCCACATCTGCCTTTCTGTCATTGACACACATGCACAGTAGTGGTAACTGGGGTAGGCCGTGGACGTCACAAGACATTATACAGACTACATTATGCAGCAGGGCTATTCAACTAAATTGCTCAGGGGGCCACAGTTACTGCCGGTCAACAGCTGAGGGGCCAAACATCCAGCAATGAAAGTTATGTAAAGAAACCAAGTATTACAAAGATCAGTTACCTTTAAATTAGTTTATTTTGTTGCATTTAATCATGAATACAACATACAGAACCCTAGAAAAGTAGTGATAATTACACATTATCAAAAACAAAAAGAACACATTCTGCCTCATATTTAACACAAATAATATTTTAACATCTCTGACTTGCCAAATTTTTAAACCAATTTTATTTTCACTTTCATCATTTTATCTTCAACTGCTTGTAGTTTTAACAGTCTTGAGTGTTTATAGAAATGGTTTTTACCAGCTTATAGCCAAGATTCTGACGTTTCTGTAGACACCAAACATGTCTATGTTTAACTAAAAGAACTTTGAGTAATTAAAGTAGAAAACCGGGGTTTTGGGCTTAAGAGATGAATGAACCAGTTGGCGGGCCGAACTTTGGTCACTCGGCCCGCGGGCCGCCAGTTGAATAGCCCTGTTATACAGGCTCTGGTATCATGGCTACCTGGCAACGGAGCTCAAAAGTGTGGGACCATTTAAAGAAAATGAAAGAGGAACCTGTGCAATATTTGCAAGGAAGAACTTGCCTTCCACAGCAATTATTTTTAGTTAGCATATAGCTAAAATCTAACCATGGTTATATAATAGCAGCTGCATTCTGGCACGATAAGCTTTATGTTTTATATTCAATTAATCACTGATTATTTTTTTCGATTAGTCGACTAATCGGATCATAAGTTAATCGACTATAAAAATAAGAGTTTGTGGCAGCCCTATTTGTATCTGAAAAAAATCTTAGAATACGAGAAAACTGGTGAATGCCACAAATTATCCTAAATCACTCGAACACGCACCTTAAGAACATATCTGTTCGTACGAACAGTTCTTGCATGAGGCCATTGTTTGTTTGTTTTTTCATTCCTCACCTCTTTGCCCTCCTTGAAGCCCCTGTTGGCTTCGTGAACAGCAGCTGCAACCTGCTGGTTTTTCAGCTGACTCAGCTTGCTGTCGGGGTTTCTTAGCCGGGTCACCATGCGAGTGGCTGAAGACTTCTTACTGCTGAGATTTGTCATTTCCCCACCGGTCGAGTCTTTGCTGTCCCCTGAAAGTCCAACAACCAGTTCAGTCATAAAAACACAGACAAATAAAAAACAATAAAAGTAGGTTTTGACAAGCGAAAACCAACTAGTATGATTTCTTAACGGTGGTAAAAAATAAAATAAAATAAACAGAGCACACAAAAACAAACCTGCATCATCGAGGCTCGCCAGAGACGACTGAGAGGACCGGTCTGCTAAGTCTGGGGGCTCGGGAACCCTGGGTGGGACACCGGTTCCTAAGCTGCTGTTGCTGTTCTCCTCAGAGGGATGGCTCAGGGTGGGGACGCCATCTCCACAAACTGGGACAGAAACCGATGATGGGTTTTCTGCCAAAACATTCAGAGAATGAGCTTTAATGCTATCAGAAGGTCTGCATGTTTTATTAGTGCTGAAGTTATAAAAGCAACATTTTATTCCTGAACTGCTTTAAGCAGTATGACATATGAACACAGAGCAAAGTGACGGAACTTGAGAACCATAAAAAAGTTAAAACTGGGGCTTGAGAGAAAAAAAAAACCCTCTTGAATTGGTAAATAAAATCAGTTTGATTGTGGCTCCCTCTGCTGATAGGCCATGAGTAACGCATGCAGCAAATAGAACAGGAACTTTCCTGAAGAAACATGAAAAAGAATTTTGTTCGAGGAGGATTGTTATTGTTGATGTTTTTGTTTTGTTTTTGTTACTTAAAGACTATTAGTATTGTTTATTTTATCTTCTTTTCTTAAAAGGGGCAGATAGATTTTTTTCTTCTTTCTGCTACCTTGCATTTTATTTTTTGATTTGTTTTTTTATGTAAAATTTGTTGTTTACTTTACAGGAAATGAAAACAAAAAGGCTGTGCACATTTGATCACACTAAACAAAACATTTTTACTACTAAGATGAACAATGTCTGATCAAAGACGTCAAACGAGCCACAGAAATGCTTTTAGTAAATGGATGTTGTTTGGAGTCCAGTTTTGGCTCTGAACATTTTAGAGACGATTAAAAAAAGAAGTCTACTAATCCTCAAAGGGGAAATTAATTCTCTGCATTTTTCCCCATGTTTTTTTTCTCATCGCACATGCGAATACAGACCAAAATGCAGCTGGGGGCCCAGAGCGGGGCAAATGAGGTTTCCCCACACACATTTTTCTCCCGTCTGGGGAGTTGAACCGGTGACCTTCCGATCACCGTCACAACAGAGACGCCCTCTCACCGTGCTAACGTGTGCTCTCAGAGTGCATCGATCAGTACAGTGATAAAAGAGGTGTGGGAATAAACCGACGTGCTGCTGTCACTGAAGCTGCTGATGCTGGCAGGACCCCTGCCACTTTTTATCCACCTGACTCCAGGGGGCGCTGCTGTGGAAATGACCCCTTCCTGTCAAAAACATCACAAGAAGCTGTAAGCTTTGGCTAACAGAGGTAGCAGAGCACGGCCCGAAGCTTATTTGAACGTATTTTGCGTTCGGATTAGCAGAATAAACTCAGTTAATATTTTTTTTGTTTTTTTGTTTTAGGGCTGTGAAATTAATCGAGTTAACTCATATTGATTAATTTTATTGCTAGGCGTAGATTAAAATTTTTTAATCATGATTAATCTAACTTTTTTCTTTTTTTATCAATCACTTTACTATGGCTGAATATGTAGGTTTGTATATTGCAATGCACTCAGTGCCAGATCATGTTTGTAAATGAGAAGTGGTTCTCAAACAGTTTACCTGGATAAATAAAGGTTAAATAAATAAAATAAATTAATAAAAAACTCCATGTGTAACATTATGTACAGTTTTTTTTGTCTTCTTATGGCTTATTTTATTTTATCCATTTATGTTTTGCTGACAACTTTGACCTTAGCATCTATCTTTCATTCCTCATGTAGTACTCAGTTTGGAAAGAAAAATACTTGAATTCTTGATTTAACCTCATTATTCTGCACGAGATTTAACTGACTCAAATATGTTTGGAGCATTTTTAGGTCCTGTTTTATGTTCAAAAAAATCACGTCTAAGCATCACTTTTGTTTTCTAAATAAAAACATTAAAAACTAATTAATAACTCAAGTAATTTATTTTATCAATATGCAATAGAAATGTATATTAAATTTAAGATTACTCATGATTAATTCACAGCTACTTCCGGATTAATCAGATTAAAAATATTAATCATTTGACAGCATTAGTTTTTTTTTACATTTAATAACTGTAGTGAAGTTAGGCCTGCTATGATATTAGGAAAACCTGCGATGTGTGATAACAGTGTTTACTATTGCGATGACGATATGACTTGTTGTGTTGATGCCTTTCTGCACCGGGTTCAGAGCAAAAAAAAAAGAAACATTTCAATTCCAGCACGAATTTTTATAAATTTGAATAAAAATGCATATTACACAGGCTATTATTGCAATGATGATGATAAGTTTTCTATATATTGTGCAGCCCTAAGTGGAGTTTACTAAAAAGGCCTAGCAAAGTCCAGATACCCGTTGTGCTGTTTGCTGATGCAACAACCAGACCAAGCTAAGTCAGTCAGTGGCTTCAACAAGTATTCTGAACACAAACCTGCAACCAAAACAAAGGGTTTCCTATGAAAAGTGTTATCGTTTCCATAACCTAGCTACAGATGAGGAATCAAGAATGTGGCTGCAAAATCAGAATCTGAAGCGACTGCCAAAACTCTGCACGTTTGATCATTTCACCTTGTTTACGAAAGGTCGACGCAGGATAACCTGCATCCTAGTGGCTTGTTTACAACAAAACACTGGAGAAGGGATGCAGAAAAAAAAGTGCAAAGAGAATATCAGGTATGATTTCAAGTGTAAGAAGGAAAATGTTTGTATTAGGAATTGTGCTTTTCTCTGCAACTAAAATGCAATGAGTGTTTTTGGCACGGCAGGCCAGCAAAACACTTAAGTATTATAGTTTCACAACAAACGTATTTAAGAATGACCCCCAAGATATTTTCTTCTAATCTTACTCTAAATTTTTAGATTATAGCTGTGACAATGGTTTTCCTTATTTTTGCAAAAGACTTAGGTCAGAGTTAACAACAAATGTTTCAGTCAAGAGTGGTTTTGGCTGGGCTTTATGTCCGCTTTAAGGTAATTTATGTCCCATTTCTTTAAAAAAAAAACACGACCGGCCTTATCACTGTGTAGGTTCTGATACGCCTCAGAGCTTTTCAGGTTGTTTATCGAGTAATCGAGTCAATGAAGTAGCTGTGTAATCTGCAGCCACTTCTTCAGGTCGCCCTCCTTCCAATCCCTCGACCGCAGTAGGCAGAGGTATAATTATATTGTCCGTTTAAGCCCCAACAGGCGGTGTTCCCACATGTTTAAACTGTATTAGCTCGTACATAAACCAATGCTGGTTCTGGTTTAAGACGAAAATTGTGCCCATTATTCAAGCAAGGCATCATGGGTGCTAGGAATAAGGTGGATACCGCAGAGATCAAACTACAGTCACGTACGTCTTTTTAAGGTTCTCAGTCAAAAAAGAACCTGACTCTTATTACAGTTACTTGTTTACTTTGGCTTTTGACACTGTAAGGGGTTGTGTTGTCCATTTATACTGGATTTTATTTTTTTGTAGAAATTACTTGTTTTTATTCTAGATTTAAAATTGTGTTTTAGGTATTTTATTGTTTTTTATTCCTTGTTTTTACTTTGTTTTTTATTACCTGCTTTTATTTTTCTGTGTTTTTTTATTCCTATTTTAATTGTGATTGAGTTTGTTTTGGATGAGCTGTGTTTATTGTTCACGCTGACACTGCTTTTATGACAGAATGAATAATGAATACACTTTATTCTGTGTGTGTGTGTGTGTGTGTGTCTGCATTGTTGGAGGTTCTGGCTGCCAACACTTATTTCTTTTTCGACAGACAAAAGCCTTGTTTTGGATGAGCTGTGTTGGAATGCTGATTCTGTACAGCACTTTGGTCTATGGTGCAAAAAGTGTTTTACAAATAAAAGTTGTATTGGATTGGAGTTGTATCTGTGCCGCTGCATACTTTTAGATAGTCTTCTTGCAGGTAAAGTTTACATTTATTTGCTCCTCTGCACAGAAATAGAAAGAGAGGAACTCATGAGGCTCGGGGGAAAAAACACTGAAAGTTTAAATCTGGTGTTCTGCAGCTGGGTGGTCCTTTAAGGGATCAGTCAGCACTACGCAAGCCCACCTTTTCAGCAGCTGGAATTACCATTTCTGTCACTGCCTGGCTCAGAGGTAAAGAGAAGGAAGTTTCAGCCCCCTCTTTACCTCTAACAATTTGGACAATTAAACACATTGGATAAAACTGGCACCACAAACAAAAAAACAAACAAAAACAAAAACAAAAAAAAAGCAGGCTTAGAATTAAATGACTCCAAAGCAGAGATACAATTATTTGAATTCATAATTACTCAGTTTGTTAAACTTACAGACTATGAAGCAAAAGGCTGATTCCAGAATGATTTTACCCATAAATGTACCTTCGGTTTTGTTGGACACCTCCACGCTGGAACATCCTTCTGACCGACCCTCTACAGTGGACGTTATGGGCTTTGGAGTCACAGTGGTCAAAGCTGGGCTTACAGTGGAGCTTTGTATTGGAGCAGATGTTGTTGGAGCAGGTTTGTCTAGGATGCTGCGGTCCTCCTGGTCAGCTTCACAGACTATAAAACAGCATCATTAGTGTGAAACTTGTAACCAGTTAGTTTGAAGAAAATAACAAAGATGGCTTCTTTAATAATTGTTGCCTCATTCTTTTCTTTATGGCAACATTTAGGTAAAAATAGCATTTCTTTTAAAATATGAAGATAATTACCTTCACATGTGGCACCATCTGTTTTCTCTTGTGTGACCACTTCTGTTGTTCCTGGTTCTTCCTTTGTCTGATCTTTGACCCCTCCGTCCTGTTGCCCCTCACAACTGAGCTTGGCTTCCTCACCTTCCTTCTCCACCTCCAGCTCCTTCTTCTCCATCTCCAGCCGTGCTCTCTGGGCCTCCTCAGCAGCTCGTCTCTTCACCTCCTCCAGCTCTTCTTCCTTCTTAGCACGAAGTCGCTCCAGGATCTCCTCTGAGTGTGGAAGAAGCAGAGGACATGTAGTTTTTGTAAGAACAAAACTAATTCAGAGGTAAACCCAGACAAAAACAAAAATATTTTAAACATTTTATTTGCTTTCTGAACATTTAAGGAAAAATAAATACTAAAAAGTATAAAAATGACAAAAACAAATCAGCTTTTATTGTTGAGTAAAGCATAAAGGTGTGTATCTAAGTGTTGTGAAACATTCTGTTTTATACATTCTCTGTACTGAATGCACTGTTGTGTTAAAATTCATACTAAATAATTTGAGTTTTTTGTGACTTCTTTCAAAAGAAAGTATTTAATTTGGAATAATGAACAGATCAGTACGCTAAAAAGGTCATTTATTTTAATACCAAACACACAAGAACAAATTGTTACATTAAATTTTTACTTCTACTCCTAATAGTTCTGATTTTAAAGTGCCTGTAACGTAAAATTTTTGTAATAAGTTTGTATGCGTTTTTGGAAAGACAATATTGATAACATATTGCAAAACAAATTTCACGCCGTTGAGATGAACAGTTGTTGAGATATTTGCATGTGAAGAAACAGGAAGTGATGTCAAAGGGGAATGTCTGCATGTGAACAGAGAGATGCTACAATATTTAGAGAAGAATCTGATGTTTCTTTAGATTATGTTGAGTCACTATCAGAGTTGAAGAAGAGTTTAAATAAGATTTTTTTTCAATAAGACTAGAGAGTTTTTCTTAAAGAGCTCCCCTTTGATGTCACTTCCTGTTTCACTTTGCTGAGCCAAATTCAAGAGAAAATATGCCAGTTATGGGACAAAATGGTTAAAATCATGTGTATTATGCTAATTTTCTTAAATATAAACGTTTTATTTGACTTTTTGCATTTGAAGGATAAGCATGTCACAGGCACTTTATGCTTTTAGTGTTTTTTAGGAGTTAAATGAATTTCTAACAAATAAAAAAAGTAAAAAAAACCTCAATTGTCAAAGAAATCCACTTCTTTTTTTCAACTTACACATTTCTTTTTTTTATTGTCGTTTTAACACGATTGCTACAGACATTCTTATTTACCTCTAGTGATGCATGGTTTTTTTAAAGTGTTTGATGTAGGGTCGCAAGTAATGTCCAGAATTAAAGAAAAACAAAACACGGAAGCAAAGGAATAAAAATAATAATCTTCCAGTTTTGAAAAATTGTTTACATTGTCTGCTTTAGAGGAAAAAAAATGTTTTAAACCTGTTTTGAAAAAGCACCTTTAACTTATCTACACACATCTGATCCTTGTTAAAGTGTTAGTTTCCACTCCTGCTGTGGAATCACTGATTTACCATCGCTGAGAACAGCACCACGTACCGTAAACTCCAGTGGTATTTTTCCTCAACGCAATTCTTACATTCACTTCAAAAGGAAACCACATTTTATAAGAAAGATGAGCTGATGATTTGTACAGCACACAAGGCTGTGGTGAGATGAGTCTGAAGCTTCAAGTGTATGAAGTGGGTCCGACTGAGACCAGAATAAGTTTCGTATTGGTCGAGCTGATTTCTGTTGCTAAGCTAACTATGATTGGGTGGCATTCACGATTGCTGGCGAGAGAGCAGGCAAAAGTATAAGCAGACAGCATACAAGATTAAAAAAGGATAACTAGAGAATTAGCATTTTCAGCCAAAATGCACGAATGCTCGACGCTGAAAGATTTTTGTAGAAAAAATATGTACAGAAATTCTGCAATTTGTTGTAAAACAAGCTGAAATTAGCAGAAAACTGGCTAAAAATTAACCGAAAAAGCTGAATCTAGCAAAAAGAAGCGGCAAGAATACGCTTTCTGAATTAAGCAGTAAGAAGCTGAAATTAAACGCAGTGGCTTAAACTGCAGAAAACAGCTGAAAGAAGCATAAAAAGCTTAAATTAGCAGATTAGCCGGAATGTCCTGGAGGAGGTGAACGTTTCCAAACGAGATGCGTGCCGAAAAAATATGGACAAAAAATGGATCATCTCAATAATCTCTTAGATTATACACTTCTCTTTATCCACTCTGTCAGCGACAAACTCAATCACAGAAGAAATTCAGTTTTCCAGAACTCATTAAAAAAGAAGTTATTTACCATTTGCAGCAGTGAGGAAACACTTGTTGCTGCCACGAGCCTTGTTCGTTAGATCCTCAGTAATATCCATATGAGCGTGCACCTCATCCCTTATCTCCTCCAGGGCGGCATAGAGGTCAGCCTCCCAGAACTCTTTATCCCAGCGCTCTATCAGCTCAGCTAGCTGGACCTGGAAAAGATAGGAGTTTATGAAGCTTTTAACAGATTCAGACCTACTCCATTATATCAAAGTCACAACAAGCTCAGAAAATAAAACAAATCTTAGCAGGAGAAAATACAAGTTCTCATTTACCTTGGTGCTGTAGTACCAGATGGTTTTATCCTCCTGCTCACCTTCCTCCTCACTGTTGGTGAGACATAACAGTTGAGAGAAAACATTATGAACAAACAAAAAAACTAAAAAGGAGCAACTAAAATTGTAAACTTATGTCTTTTTTTAGTTCTTTGTTGTATGTAGTTTATTCTACTACTTCCAGCTGTTTCGTCTTGAAGGGTCACCACAGCAAGTCATCCTCTTCTAACTCACTCTGTCTTCACTCCAACTACCTCCATGTCCTCTCTAACTCCATCCATGTATCCGTTTCACCTTCAGAATAGAAGTCCAGTTGTTTTGTTTTGAACTTTTCTTTTGTTTGCATCCATATATCTACTCTTTTCCCTGGCAGCTGCATCTCTAAAATCCTTCTACCAATATACCCTCTGTCCCTCCGCTGGATGTGTCCAAACAACCTCAGTCTGGTCTCTCTAACTTTATCTCCCAGTCGTGCAATGATTTCCTTACTTTTGGGAGATCGGCCGATTCTTAGATAAGATCAGTGGAGAAGATTGGCTTTTCTACCTCCAAAAAGGTCTGAAAATCTGCCACTATTCTCTTTTGCTCTGCTCTGCATCCTACCTAATACTCAGTTAAAACAAGTTTGTATTGTTTCAAGCCAGGGTATTGTTCAAAGTATTTCAATAAAATCAGGGTTCCTGCAGCTTAAGTCAAGTTTAAGACATTTTAAGACCTCCTCAATGCCACTTGAAATTAAATTTAAGACTTCACAACAGCAACAATTTTACGCAGATGTTTAACACAAAACTAGCCAAGTAGGGGTCTCTGAAGAACGTGTTGCCCTGTGGGTAGAGACGGCCCAAATCGTCATTGGCCGAGGTCTTAGTGTGGGCGGAGACGGCCCAAGAGATGTGATTGGTCGGAATGACGGTGGGGTATGAGGCTGGAGGCAGCGGGGAGTAGCTTGGTAGAGTTGGGCAGGAAGTAGCATGTTTAGTTTTATTATTATTATTATTTTAGTCATAACTTGAGAAAGGAAAGTGCTAGCTGCACGAAATTTGAACGTCTTACATGTGAAATGACGTGTAACAATATGGCTTGGTTAAAACACCGCTAACCAGTCTGTAAAAAGATAGCTAAAAAACAATATTTTTTACAGACTGGTTAGGGGTGTTTTAGGCAAAATAATGCATTTAAGTATTTTGAAAATTAGTTGTGAAAACAGTAAAGGTTGCTTTGCCTCGTCCTCCAGATGTAACTAACAGACAGCACCTGAGCCTGCATCTCTCCTCCTGCAGACTTCTCTGCTTCACCTCCACAGCTTCTGTCCCACAGAAGCCCAGCCAGCAGCTCGCAGCCACAGGTAACTGTTACACCTGGTTATTGACCGATCAGCCACAGATAATTGTTACACCTGGTTATTGACCAATCAGCCACAGGTAACCGTTAAACTGGTTATTGACCAATCAGCCACAGGTAACCGTTACACCTGGTTATTGACCAATCAGCCACAGGTAACCGTTACACCTGGTTATTAACCTATCAGCCACAGGTAACTGTTACACCTGGTTATTGACCAATCAGCCACAGGTAACCGTTACACCTGGTTATTGACCAATCAGCCACAGGTAACTGTTACACCTGGTTATTGGCCGATCAGTCGGGTTTGAGTAAAATGTGTTCACAGGCTGTAGGCAGCTTTCTGTGGATTTCTTAAATCACTTTAACAATGTTGATTCACGTTGTGTTCCCACTTCAGAAACAATGAAAAAGAAAAAAACCTCAGAATATCACCTGTACCTCGACTTTTTTCCAGCCTTTTGTTTTGCTGCATTTTTATTTATTGGGGATTTAACATTTAACAGAATGCACCTTCCTCTCCTCTCCTCTCCCTGCAGAGGAGGCAGAGAGAGAAACAAGGAGGCATAAATAACATTTGTCAGATTTTTTTTTGTAAGGTGACTGACTCAAGCGGGACTGTGTGTGTGAACTTGTGCGTCACATTGTGCACGTTGGATTTTGTGTGTGCAATGTTTTTTTGGTGCCATTAAAAATCCCTTCTTGTAGTTTATAGGGTGATACATTTTTGGAAATTAAGCTTAGTCACATGACTGCATGACCTGGGTGTTGAAGTAAGCATTAAAAGATTAAATAATTGTTGCTGTTTTAGTTGCAGAAATTTGTTTGATGTGTTTTAGTTTTTGAAACTGGACTACAGAACTTGATCAACTAGTTAATGGTTTATCTTAATTTCATTTTACAACCGTACATTTGACTGTAACTTAGGTGGCATTCAATGCATTTAAAAAGATAAATAAATGTTACCAATTCTTTTAATATTTGAGAGAAATTACAATCATCCTACTTGCATTTTAGGACCTCTGAAAGATTGATTTAAGTCTTTTTAAAGCCAATTAAGGCCTTATTTTTGGACTGATAAATTCAATGCCTTTTAAGACTTTTTAAGGATCCACAGGAACCCTGTTTATATAGCTGGCTGCTGCTGCTCACTCAGCACCCATTCTCAAAGTGGAGGCTGTAAAGCATTGGTTCCCAAAGTTGGGGTCGGGACCCATAGTGGGGTCCCGAAACATCAAGGTGGGGTCCTGAAAAGATTTTCTGAATTACACTAAAAAATTATAACTATCAATAATTTTTTTGCCTTTGTTGTAACAAATGAGTAAAGTTAGTGCAGTTACAATGGACAAAAAGAGACTAATAAATATTGTTACTATGCTCTTGTTTGTTTGACATGAAACCAACGTTCATCAACCAACAACAGCTGGGGTCACAGGTAGGGGTCGACCGATACATCGGCCGGCCGATATTTGTGTTTTTTTCCTTGTATCCGTATCGGCCGATACACTGTCCGTTCGGCCGATCCGTTCTTTGGGTCACGCGAGCGCATGTGTCTGCCCCTTCCCCCGGGGACAGCGTAGCAGCTAATGTTGTGAGACAGAGTGCTAACAACAACAAGGGTGAGTTATGAACTATAAATGTGTTTTAACTGTCTAATTTAGCTGCTATCTGTGTCGGAATATGAGGGAAGAGAAAACAGCTGTGTTTAAGTTTCTTTTCCAGACGGGAGCGCTGCGACATGTTTTACTTTCACTTTCGCACCGCACTGTAATCAGCGTGTCCGCGTTGTTTTTCTTTTTAAAAATGCTGGAGCTGCTCACATGAGGCATAGAAAAACACCTCTATTGTTCTCCCTGCTGGATTAAAATAAAAAAGCTTTCTGTCTTTTCTCGCTGAACATTTTAGCGAGCGCAGCCGTCCTCCATCATGTGAACCAGACACTGCTCACATCACGTTTGCTGTGACCGCAGTGGTGATGCTGGTTCTCTTCGGTGTACATTTTAAACTGTGATCTAAAGTTAACGTCAGCTGTTTTAAATGCATTTTTTTGCCTGGTGTTAAAAACGGGAGCAGCAGACTGAGGCAGAGAAGCTGTGAGCGCTGTGTGTGTGAAGTCCTGACAAGGATAGCAAGATGTATGTGTGTCTCTTCTTTTTCTCTGTGTTGCTCTGACAGTTTTATTTAGGCTTATTGCTGTTTTTGCATCAAAAATGCTGGGATATTAAAAAATAGTAATTTTATGTAAAAAAATATATTGAGAAGAGTGAGAAGAGAGAAATGTTAAGAGACCAGATGGGCATGTTGTGTCGTTCTGACCTCTGCAGACCTCCGAGTGCAGCTTCACGTTAACAAAATAAAATAAAATCCCCACAATAACTGAAACTAACTAAAGACTGAACACTCTGAACTACACCCTAACAATAAAATCCAAATATGTTAAAATGTCACACTATCTCCGTCTATCCATCACCACAAAATTCATTCAAATTTTGCGGCTTTTCAACACGAGGCCGACGACTGATTGCTGTTTGTTCCATGATATTAGTGTCCTGATGGTCTGTGCAAGATTAAAATCAGACACCACTCTCAGCAGCAGAACCACACTTTCCACAGAACAAGTGTGCCAACTCCTCAAACTGTGCCTGGAGTCAACCTACTTCACATACGGGGGGCAATATTATAGGCAGAAACATGGGTGTGCCATGGGATCCCCAGTTTCTCCTATTGTTGCAAACCTGTACATGGGGGAAGTGGAAAAGAGAGCCTTGATGTCCTTTTCAKGGGTGCCACCGAGCCATTGGTTCAGATATGTTGACGACACCTGGGTTAAAATTAAAGCCCAGGAAGTCCAACATTTCACTGATCACATCAACTCTGTGGATGAATATATTAAGTTCACACGAGAGGATGTAAAAAATGGCAAGTTGGCGTTCCTGGATTGCGATGTCTCGGTTTCGGATGGAGGACGGTTGGAAACTGGCGTATATCGTAAGCCCACCCACACAGACCAATATTTGCATTTTGACTCCCACCACCCACTGGAACACAAGTTGGGAGTGATCAGGACTCTGTACCACAGAGCAGACAGTGTCCCTACAAACCCAGGAGCCAGGCAGAAAGAGAAATCACACACACGACAGGCCCTGGAGCAGTGTGGTTATCCTGACTGGGCTTTCCTGAAAGCAGACAGGAAACACAGACAGGATTCCATGCAACCTTCAGGTGAAAATGAAGACCCCAAACCCAGACCCAAACCAGTGGTTATTCCGTATGTTGCGGGTGTTTCGGAGAAACTGAGACGTTTATTTTCTAAACATGTCCCAGTGGCTTTCAAACCCCAAAACACATTACGGCAAAGGCTGGTTCACCCCAAAGATCCGGTGCCCCGGCACAAACAAAGCAATGTTGTATATGCTGTTAAGTGCCAGGAGGACTGAGACCAGTTATACATCGGGGAAACAAAGCAGCCACTGTTCAAAAGAATGTACCAACACAGACGAGCTACATCTAATGGCCAGAACTCTGCAGTTTTCACTCATTTACAGGCCAGCGGTCACTCTTTCAGAGATGAGGATGTTCTCATTCTTGATAGGGAGGAACGTTGGTTTGAGAGAGGAGTAAAAGAAGCCATTTTTGTGAAGAAAGACCGTCCATCATTAAACAGAGGTGGAGGCCTCCGTTTTCAGTTGTCCCCGTCCTACAGCGCGGCTATTGCCAGTATCACTCCACCCCCTGTTAACAATAGGTGTTAATTAGGTGTGAACGATATCCATGTGATGTGAGTATCAGTCACATGGAGGCAGTGCTTAAAAGCCTAAATTTTGCCTGAAACTCTCAGACTGAAGAAGTCTCTTGGAGAAGAGACGAAACGTTTCATTAGAGAAGAACCCGTCCAGAGGACCTATACAATTTTTTTCTTCATGATATTAGTGTTTCCTGCTACCTGCAGCTGAAACGGGCTTTAAATAGGATGATCCTCTTCAATTAAAAGAAGAAAAAAGGGTGTATATTATATATTACAACAGTGCTTTTATTTGGACTAGCAACACAATTTAAGAACTGCTGTATAGTTTGAAGTCTCTATTTTTGACATAATTTGTACCAGAGTCTCAGGCTGTATCTTTCTGGCTAGACTGATTAAAATAGATCATGTGAATCGATCATGTCACATACCATACCACTGTCGTGCATCAGGTTGTAAGGTCTCCTCATATCCATACAACATTCCTAATTATCCAAATGAATATGTGTGATACACACAAAATATTTTACATTACTAGCTAAGACTGTTCATCTGAACAGCAACGTTTTCCCCCACAAAAACATGGAGGTTGAAACCAGGTGACAGATGACATCTTGCCGACTTCGAGAATATCCTCTGTGGCTGCTCCGTAACAAAGTATAAAAAGGAAAAGATGCTGATTGTTTGTTTTAATCAAGATTAAGTCTGAAAACCAAATAGCATTATTAGATGAACAAGAATATATATGGTGTATCAAACCACTTCAATTCTAATCTGTGAAGAAGCAGCTGCACTGCAATAAAAGCCTGAATGTAAACATGTGGGTGTCAATTCTGGAGACTTAAACTCCAGTGACATGGCACTCGTGCAACCACGCTTCCTCTAATCTTAACATACAGCACAACGCTGCAAAACCTAAAAACTGCTTGTTATTGTGCATGTTATTGTGTATTTAGATTAAAAAATTGTAAACTGAGAGACCAAAGTGATGGAACAAAGCAAACAAAAATAAGCAGCAAACGATTAATGATTTTCTAAATTTTTGCTGAAATAATTCTCAAAATATTTTCTATATTATTAGCAACTCTGTGTGAAAAATACTTACTTTCAAGCTGCACAATATACCAAAATGTAACCTCATCACTACAATGTGAGGATGCACAATATTTACTGCAAAACAACTGCTTTGACTAATAAATTGTAGACTATTTACAAGAACCCTGAATCCACGATCTCAATAACACTAATATAAATGTGCAATCAGAAGAATTGCCCTATTTAAACAAAAGCAAAGATGCAAAAGTATACAGAATTTTGCATCACTATTCAGTAAGAAAATGACTTTTATGCATGTTTGCCTAGAATTGCGTGGCCCTGTTAGCATAAATATCTGTAGACGTCGGTGATATTAATGAATATCACACAACAAACCCAAGCTGCAAACTTACATAACAACTCTGCGATTCAGGAACCAGTATTTACGGTGGTGTCGGTCATATCCAACCGGCAGCTGACGAAGACACGGTTTGGTCTTTTGCACTTCGGGGACGCAGTCCGCCACGCCGGGTACCTTGTGTGCCACGCACACCTCGCACTGCCACTCGTCCTCCGGCACTTCCTGCAGCGGAGGTTTCACGCACTCCAAGTGGTAAACGGCCGAGCACGTCTCGCAGCACAGGAGGTCGCCCAGACGATGGCACACCCGGCAGTGGTCGTCGTACGCAACGACCCCTTCGGACATGAGCTCCTCCCGGGCCAGATTTGTCGCCAAGAACTGGTCCACCAAAAACTGCAGCACTTTTATTTTGTTCTTTAAGGGTTCGTACGGGTAGTCCTCACTCTCCAGGAAAGGCAGAACGTGCCGGTACTCCGAGTCGCTCTCGCAGTATGCACGCACCGCCTCCGGCCAGGTCATACCGTCCACAAAATACAGAGTGGAATTAACGGAGTCCTTCACGTCCGCGGGACCAAACGTGGTGTTGGAAGTGTCCTCCTCTCGGAGAATAGCTTTGAGCAAGGAGATGTGGGTCTCTGCCAGCAGCGTGCACTGTTCTTGGCTGGCCAGGGCCGCGCAGAAGTCCTCGAAACGGAACGGGGAGAGACGCAAGACCGTGCCAAAGTTGCGCAGAACTTCGTAGACGGCAGACACGTTGAGGAGCTGAGAGGTAGGAACCAGGAGGTCCTCCGACGACTTGGGAAGCTCCAAAGGAGGAATGTCCTTCCCCTCGAGAATGGGAGATGGCGGTTGAAGAGCCCGACTCCGTTTCCGGCCTGTAATGAGTAAAAAGAGAAAACTTTGTCTCTGTTTTGGCATATGAAATATAGGCAAAGGTACAATACCTGAGTATTCCATTAGGACGACACTGTCCTCATTAAATTACACAATTCTGGATACAATCATGACCAATTGATAAGTTTTGTTTTCATTGTGAAACTGTAACAATCTTAATTATAAGCTAACAACAAGAGCTAATAACCTCGAAAATGGAGGATATTAATAAAATAAATTTCCATCTTTTGTATCACTTCAAGCAGCTGCCACACTAAGTACTAAAATCTAGCCTTTAAATAAATTTGAAAAAGTTATCTAAATAATTGCACTTTATTATGCATTTCCATACCTGCAAGCTACACAATTTACCTGATAAACAGCGATGTTTGCAACAAGTCACAAAAAGGTTTTGCATAAAAAACTCCTGCCTTTTTAGCAAAATTACGAAACAAAAACACGTTTTTATAAAACTGGGTTGAAAATGACTTAACGTGAATTGAAAAAAGTCCAACATTTTATTTGAAAATGAAGTGAAATCACATAAAAAAACCACTCAATTTCTAATTAGAAGAAATGCTGTATTTCAAAACAAACACTAACACTGCACGTGTGAGCAAAAGTAGAAAAGTTGAATAAAAATCAAGCAGCAAAAAGTGAATACATCCGGTATCTACGTGCTTATGTAAACAGACATCGCTCGAGTAAAAAAATATAAATAAAAAAAAGAAGCTACTTTCAAAATAATAACAGAAAAGTGCTGATCCGACAAAAGTCCAAAACATAAGAGCCGGTTGAAGCGTGGACCCGATCTGCAAGATATCTAGCGGCCAGGAGCAGACGGTAAACAAAGGCCTGTTTCTGAGTGCAAGCTCCATTTTGAACAATGCGCCTTGGTTTTTCTACTGAGCAGAAAATAATAATAAAAAATGCACTTTAAGTAATGCAGACGTGCGTTGCCAAACTGCGTGCACTTGTTGGCGAACGTACCTGGAGTGCTCTCCAGCGTGCTGTGGCTTCTAAAACTGCTCTCAGTACAGTAGCTGGCATCCTCATCATCCGGTAGGTCCTCCAGAAAGTCGGAGTCGTTTCCCAGGGCCTCCTCATCTTCCAGACCCGACGATGGGTCGTCGTTCAGTTCGTCTTCGTCGGAGCGGTAACTTAAATTTTCGTCCTCCTCGTCGCTGTTGTCGTCGTAGACTATCTTGGTTTGAGGCCGCCTCACGCCGCCCTTACCGCCGCGGCCACCTCTCGACCCCCTGCCTCTGCCTCTGCTCCCTCTGCCCCGTGATGTCGCCGCGGTGGAGGCTCCAACTTTCTTACGGCCGCGAGACGAATTAAAGTTCTCTCGCCCGGAGATGTCCGCGTCCACCTCCAGGGAGCCGACGCTGCAGGTCGCGCCACCTCCTCCCCGGCCCCGGCCCCTTCCTCTGCCTCTCCCCCGTCCACGCATCCCTCTCGTCCTGCTTCCTCGAGAGCCCCGGACTGGCCCGGGTGAACCTTCCCGCATCGCGTCTGCTTGTTTGGGCGGCCTTCCTCTTCTCCCTCTCATTGTGGGAGAGAGGCTCCTGTGTTCCGCCTCAATCTCGGTGCCCGAACGAGCCACGCACTAGGGAGAAAAACGGGGAGGGAATCGTCTGGCGACGGTTCCCGATCGGTCCCGACCCAAACCCCGGTCTCAGTTTGAAGGTGGAAAGCTCAAACTGAATGGCCGGTATCCCGCTCTGGGTCGCCTGCAGACGCCATTTTTTTTCTCGACTCTCTCCCCGTTGAAAACACAGCAGGCCTCAAAAGCTGCGTAAAGTTAGGAGCAATTACAAGTAAACCGGAAGTGAAGCGGTTTTTCCTTCAAAATAAAGGTGGTTAAACCTTAATTTTGACAAAACGCACACGCCATAGCTACTACACAGTACATTATAATCAAGCAACGTTTTAAGTATGTTAACTTTAATTGTAAGAAAACAATCCACGGACAAACTTTGAACAATTTGAATTTAGTCTTTTTGTGTCGCTTCCGGAACAGTGACCATCATCTCTAACTTGATCCCAGCAGGCCCGAGTTAATGTGAGGTCACGTGACTCTTTTCTACTACAGACGCAATAGCGGTTAGTTTATACATTTAGTTATCCCTGCAAACGCTAAGTGTGTAAATGCATGTGTTTTGCTGATTTTGGTGCGTGGACTTAATGACAGGCGAAGCAGTCAGGTACTGTGTAGTGTGTTCGTGCATTTTCCACCGTGTCACCAATGTCGTCACTAGCAAATCGACATTAAACCCTGGATTTCAAGAAGTTGGGAAAGTTTATGCAGCTGCCATGGCCAGTATTCATTCATACACTGATGGGACACACATCATGATGCTGAGGCGTTCATGAGCGGAAAGAGTTACACTACAACTCTTGCTTTTAAAGTCTGTTGAACATTGTACCCATTATGAACTAGTCGATGCATTAATTTAAGTAAATTCTGAGAGCTGATGATGTCATTCCGAGTTGTCGTGGCCGAGTGGTTAAGGCGATGGACTAGAAATCCATTGGGGTCTCCCCGCGCAGGTTCGAATCCTGCCGACAACGAAATTTAGTTTTCCTTCCTCACAAAGGGGAGAATTAGGAAGGAAAGAGAGAAAACAGTGTGGGCTGGTGGGGACAACTCCAAAATAAACATATCTCAAAAAGAAATAAAACATGTACTAAGTTTGTATCACGCCAGTGTATTTATTAAACAAATGAAAATAATAAAACAGCCTTGCATTGTCATGTAGTGCTTAATTTTTTTACATAAATTTTGCTCTTCTGTAACTGAGAAGCAAATTTCTTCATGACTCTGGTTAAAGTCAGGTATGTTTTAACAAGATTCTTCTCTATGCAGTGTTTCCCAAAGTTGGGGTCGGGACCCAAAGTGGGGTCCCGAAACATCAAGGTGGGGTCCTGACAAGATTTTCTGAATTAATTATATTTTTGCCTTAGTTGTTACAAAGGAGTGAGGTTAGTATATTTAAAATGGATAAATGTAGTATAAAAATATTGTTACTGTGCCCATGTTTTGGTGACCTGATACAAATGTTCATCATCCAAAAATAGTTGGGGGCACAGGTCTCTGCTGCTGTTATTTTGTGGGTCAAAAGCTGAAAAGTTTAGGAACCACTGCACTTTGGTTCCCAAAGTTGGGCTTGGGACCCAATTATGGGTCATGAAGCACCTTGGATAATCTCCAGAAATCAATTTAAAGGCTAATAAAATAATTGCTGATGTACTATTTTCCTATAATTATTACAAAAACACAAAATAAGTATAAATAAGTATTTATATTTGTGTACAAGCTGTTTATATTGTGAAAAAGCCTGTGTTTTTAGTGTTATTAACAAGGTTTGTGTACTCAGACCAGTAATATCTGGGGTCACAAGGTTTTGCCATGGATATTTTGTGGGTCAGAAGATAAAAAGTTTGGGAACCACTGCTCTATAGAGCATAGTCAGTGAGATGTGATGTTGTGTACCTGAGGAAAGTCTGGGATTCTCTTCAGTGTTGAGAAGCTCCTCTCAGATTCAGCTGTGGTCAGAGGAGATGTGATGAGAACCTTCAGCAGAGCCACAGTCTCTGAAGGTGTCCTGCAGATTGTTCTCCATGAAGAGCTGGTACAGAGCCACAGCACCACTTCAGCTCCTGAAATCATCCAGGTTGTACGTGAGACGTCTTGGTCCTGTTCAGCACTGGATAAGCCTCTGTGGTGGGCTTCAGCTGCTTCGAAGAACTGGCAGTGGTCCTGCAGGAATCTGTCTGTCTACAGCAGTGTAGCACTGATCAGGTTTTGTGAACGACTTAAAATGGAGTCACAAACCTTTAAAAATAAATGCACAAATTTAATTCAATTTGGAGACAACTACAAAATCAGCTTTCTATCATATATTTAATATAGAAAAATAATTGATGTTATGAATACATGTGTTAAAGGGATCCCTGATTAGTTGTAAAAGACTTTATTTGATAAACATATATTTTACCTGTAAAATAAAGACTTTAAAAATACTGTAGGACGTTCAGTTTTTATCATATATACTACAATATACTACACGGATGGGGGCATTTTATTTACACGCAAAGCATTCTGGGTAAACGATGACGTGGATAGTGCGAGGCTGCTAGCGAGCTATATCCACCCTGAAGGTTAATCTTGGACAATATCTGATGATCGACTCTTTTAAATGAAACCAGAGAGCGTTGACAGAGAGGAGAAGGCACTCATGGGGCTCTCTGCCAATCGACCCATGACAGAAACGTAACCAGTTTGTGGAAATTTACTGGTGAATAAATGTCAATAGGTGGAAAATAGTTTATATAATTCATATTACACGTAGGCATACATTAGTGAGTAAAACCAACATTTATAGCTGGATTTATAGAAGTATATTTTACATTTTTCTTCTTGTTGTCAGGGGGAGCAGCACCCCAGCGCCCCCTATGGGCCAGCCGCCACTGGAAATATAGTGAATTTATTATTGTCATTTTTCTCCACATAAGAACGGCCTTATTACATTCCAGTCATGTTGCTTTTTGTTGCTGAATGTTCACAGTATTCTGCCTCCAGCAACAACACTGAACACATGCTCACAACATTCATATGCCTTCTTTCACTCTTTAATACTAAAACTTCTTTTGGAAGCTGTTTTATGCTATATTCACAGGACAGAGCCATGTCCTATTCTTGAGCTTGTATCTGTACTTTAAAAATCAACTTTAGAACAAAGTATTATTTTTACTATAATCCATAACGCTGTATTATATTCTGGTAGTTATTTTACATTCACATGGCCATTCTGCGATTATTTTGCAAAGAAAAAAAGTATGTACACCATTTGCAATGAACAAAGCACATTTCAGTGAACTGAAAACCAGTTTATAATCTGGTATTCTGCACCAATGTTTCATAAAAATAACACCACACATGAAGTGTTTATGTTTTATAGTTCTAGTCAACATATCAGACTTTCATATGGAAAATGGAATAAAGTCAAAACTTACAAAGATTTACAAATATTCAGGCGTTATGACACTTCAAAGAAACAAAAATACGAACCTAGAAGTTTCAAATTTCTATTATTATAAAAGAAATGTTTATTAAAATGTTCTACGCCTGTATTTCATTCACCCATAATGACAGTGAATTAAACATGCAAAAGATATTTGACGGACAAACAAATTTACACAAAGAATTTATAAACATCTGCCACGACTGTAATGTCTAATTTAGGTCAATGTACTTTTCCCATGTAGAGCAAAGCTTCGTCACAAGAAGCATTTCCTTTATCTGAAATGTTGAGAAGTGGATTAAAATAATTCTGCACACTTATTTTAAAATAACTCAATGACTTCAATGGAGTACTGTCCCACGTCTTCCTTCAGCTTCGTCTTTTTAAGCTCTTGGAGGCTGCCCTCGATCTTTCCAAGCTCATAAAAGAGCTTCACCTGGACACAAAGGGAGGACTCTTAATATTCAAGATTCATCACGTTACCATAGAATTTTACTTAAAAAATAATAATAACAACTCTTAGTCTGGCCCTAATACTCAGCCATAAGTTAGAGTGATTTTGTTTTTTTCTTACCTGAGACTTAACAAAATGTTGAAGCTTCAGCAGCAAGCCTTTGGCCTCTGGAGTCATCACTAAAACTGTAAAATGGGCGTCCAACAGCAGGCAAACCCAATCCATGACCTGCACTCAGACAGAGGTGAAAACTAAATCTTTATCAAGCAGGAAAATCTGATTTGTTGCATTTTCTGATTTGAGTTCACTCATAGTGTTGTTGACAATTCAAAGATCAAGTAACTAGTGGTGTACTGATTTGATACTGGTATCGAGCTCAACACTCATACAAAATGTCCAAATAGTCGTTCTAAAAGAAATGTTTTTTAAGTCACTGTGTAATGTGTAAGTTCTAACTCAGTGTCAGTAATCATTATCGAGACACCCCTAAATGTAGGGAATGAAGTTATAAGTCTGCTTAAATGTGACCGTCCAGTTTATGAATTTATGAAACAAACCTGATCCAGACTTGGTGATCTGAAGCTGTGCTTTTGTGGGAAAGCATTTTGGGAATATTGTAGGTAGAGAAACTGCAGGTACTGGAGGAAAAGCTAATCAGGTAAAAAAGAAAAAGTAGCAGTTAAAAAAGCCAAATTAAGCACCTGGTTGAATTCAGAGACAGAAACGTGACAGTCACTCACAATGACATGTTGAGAGGAAAGACCCTTCAGGTGTGGGAGGAGGAAATTGTCACTGTACGCAGTCTGCAGGACCTCGTTTCTGTGAAGCCTGAGTTAAGATCTTCTGTCTTAAAGTTGTATTTTTAAAGCAAGCCGTCACACAGTAGTGACCACACATTAGTGACCACACAATTAGGGATGTCCCAATCAGATTCTCAGTATCGGTATCGGTGGCAGATATGGCCATTTTTCAAAAATCGGGTAGAATCAGATTTAGTTGTGATAGGGCCGATCCAGTTTTCAGCATCATCATGCTTTACAACTGCCGTTAACAAGTCAAGATGCACACAAGTATGCAACCATGTCCATAGTGTGGGAACACTTTTCAATGGAAAACGATGCTGAAACTGCATTTTGTAAAATCTGCAAACTGGATGTTTCTCGTGGTGGGAACAGCAGGGCTCGCTTTAATACTACCAACCTTGTCGCTTGGAAAGAAATAAAGCTATCAGATCGGAAAGACTACCGTATTTTTTGGACCATAAGCCATGACTTTTTTCCTGAACTTTGAACCATGTGGCTTATAGTCCGGTGCGGCTTATACATGGATTTTTTTCTTCAGCCACCAGGGGGCTCTTATGCTGCATTTGCTTCAACCACTCGCTTCACAAAAAGAAATGAAAAAAAAAAGAAGAAAAAAGCAATCGCTTCCAGAGCCGACTGTTGTACCAGGAAGCAGCGATTTAAAGATAGTCAATGGCCAAAAACTCATAAAAGGGGATAAAACAGACATTTTTCACGGTGGAAACTGACTGATAAAAACTTTGGAGCTTAATCCAGGACCAGTTTGTGGATAAACGTCGAGTGAAGAGCCGCGGACATTTTTTTCCGCATTGCACTCCCCGGGGAAGGAATCCCATGCAGTGACGTATGCTGGAGTGGGAGGGGTTTCCCAGCAGTTGGGCTCTGGGTTTCTTGGGGGAACTATGAAAGGTCAGTGCGAAAACGAACGCCGAACAACCACGTGACGGCGCATCGACCGGTCGACAGCCGGGCGACCATACTGCCAGCTTAGCCGGAGGTGTAGCGCCATTTTGTTTTAGCTAGTAGCAGACACGACGGATCTTCGACAGACACGATATTGGACAGTATGCGGGCCCACATCACGAATTCAGTGAAAGCAGCCATCAAGAAAACAAACTCAATTCCTGCTGTAATTCCTGGAGGTACAACAAAGTTTTTGCAACCCCTGGACATCAGTGAATCGTGTATTTAAAGCAGCACTCAGGGCTGAATGGGAGGCTTGGATGACTGACGGGGATAAATCATTCACAAAAACTGGCCGAATGTGAAGAGCGTCATTTCCTGATGTCCGCCAGTGGATCCTAACAGTGTGGAGCAGAGTGAATGAGTCCACCATCACCAATGGGTGCTGAAAGGCTGGACTGCTACGTGAAGAGGACACCACAGCTTCAGAGCCAGCATTACCCCGGGAGGACTAAAGATACCGCTGTGTGACGCAGCTTTTCTCAGCTTGTTTAACTCCGACACTGAAGAGGAGGACTTCGATGGTTTCAGTGCGCCGGAGGAAGATGAATGAGATGTTTTGTTGGACCAGAAACTGTTAAAGAAAACTACCAAAATAAGGTCAGTTAAATGAACCGTATTCCTCCGAACTTTAATTCCTAAAGGTTTGCTTTGTATGTTTTGATGTTGAATTCACTTTTTTGACGACAATTTTGGGTGTACTGTTTTTTTTTTATGTTGGGGGTGCGGCTTATAGTCCGAAAAATACGGTAAACATTAAAAAGTTCAGAATGTATCGGGAGCTAAAAAATCTGGATTGGGACATCCCTACACACAAGGGACATCAACAATAAGGATACATTAAAGCGGCTTTGTGGACCCCTATTGGACAAATCTGTTCTGGTGGATTTCTGGCCCTCTCCTCGGTTCTTCCTTTAGTCTGTTGGACACTGCTGGCGTCCGACGGCTCGTTCGCACAGGTAGTTGGACTAAAACCATTCTGCAAGCCTGCCTGGCCTTGCTGTGTTGAGATTATAGTTTCCATGAAAGAGACACTTTCAGGCTCCAGATTCAACTTCTCAGCATCGACATCTGGCAAACTGGGGAAAAAAAGAGATTTATTTCACTGCTCCCTGCTTTGATTCTGGCTACTGATAAAACCGGGTTTCTTTTAATGTAATACAAACAAAAACTTTAATTTAAAACAGTGCAGCTATTTCTTTGAAGTAGCTAAAAAGACAATATGGCAAAGGAATCAGATTTAAGTATCTTACCCAATAAAAGTCTTGAGGCAGGCGCAGGTGACAGCCTCTGGGATATCAGGGAAGAACTGCAAGCAGAGCTGACACAGAAAATAATCCTTCTTCTCCAGGGCCAGAGGCAAAAGATCAGGACAGACGCTGTCGAATGCGAAGGCAGATGGTTAGGTTCACCGGAAACATCACAGAGTTTCTTTACAAGGGTAAAATCTGAAGCAACATTTTCCACATGGTTTTAATGATAAATGCTGACTCCGCCTCCTGAGTGCTGACCTGTGGCAGAGGCACCGAGTGCGCACAAGTTGTGCTAAAGAGTCGGGGCAGTAAAACGTCGGCTCAGCCAGGCTCCGAGACACAAGAGTTACTGCGATCTGTCCTAATGAGGGCTGCAGGTCCTGCAGGTCCTGTCTGGACAGGAGCTCTTCTACCTCTCTTTGGACCTCCTCTGCTGGTGCCGTCTGAATGAGACAACAAAATGATTTAAATTCAGTTTATTTTTCAGATATGACTGGTGGTAGAATGCAAATGCAAATATTTTTACCTTGATCAGCTCTAGTACTTGGTCAGTTGTTAAACTGGGAGTTGATTGGGTTCTTCTTTGCGTTCTCTATATTATCAAAAAGAAAAGTATCTTTTATGTTTTACTCAAAAGCAGCTTTAAATAACTTCAGTGGCTATTTTTTTTTTTCAACGTGTAGTAATCCACCTTTGGTCATTTTATATAATCTCTGCATCCTGTAAGTTTCACAGCACCAACTTATAACTGGAAACCACAATTTTCAACAAAGAAGTGTAGAGTTGCAGAATTGACAGGATTATAAATTGAATTAACTACTTAAGAGAATAAAACATACGGTCTTCCTGGTCTCCATTGTTTTAGGGTGTTGCAGTTTGTCTCCATGCAGAATGTTATTCCAAGATGGCACCAAAACTGGTAGCTTGGAATCTGGTAGTAAGAAATGAAAAGCAAGACATGAACACTAATAATAAATAAATAAACAAATAAATAAATAAATAAATAAATAAATAAATAAATAAAATGGTAAAGAATATTACTGACAAGCATAAAGAAGAAGATAAGGGCCACAGAACAAAAAAGTTCTGATTTTAATCTCAGTATTCTGTCTTTTTTTCCTGAGAATTCTGACTTTAATCAGACTTTTTTTCCCTCCACTTACCTTCAGTCTTGGCCTGCTTTAACTTCCCCAGGGCAGAAGCGAGGGAAGATTTGGGGCATTCAAACGGGATAACAGATAGAGTGTTTCCATGTGGAGCAAATAACTTGTTTGAAAAACTCCACAGCTACAAAAGAGAAAAGGGAGAACAAAACGATTACCACATAATAAAAATGTATAAGCAATGAATTCAGGACTGTTGTAGACTACATCTACCGTATTTTTCGGACTATAAGCCACGACTTTTCTCCTGAACTTTGAACCATGCGGCTTATAGTCCGGTGCAGCTTATTCATGGATTTTTTTCTTCAGCCACCAGGGGACTCTTATGCTGCATTTGCTTCAACCACTCACTTCAAAAAAAGAAAGGAAAAAAAGAAAAAAGCGATCGCTTCCAGAGCCGACTGTTTACCAGGAAGCAGCGATTTACAGATAGTCAATGGCCAAAAACTCATAAAAGGGGATAAAACAGACATTTTTCACAGTGGAATCTGACTGATAAAAACTTTGGAGCTTAATCCAGGACCAGTTTGTGGATAAACGTCGAGTGAAGAGCCGCAGACTTTTTTTTTTCCTCATTGCACTCCCCGGGGAAGGAATCCCATGCAGTGACGTATGCTGGAGCTGGAGGGCTTTCCCACCACAGCTTCAGAGCCAGCATTACCCCGGGAGGACAGCGACACAGAAAGCAACACTGAACAGATACCGCTGTGTGACGCAGCTTTTCTCAGCTTGTTTAACTCTGACACTGAAGAGGACTTCGATGGTTTCAGTGTGCCGGAGGAAGATGAATGAGATGTTTTGTTGGACCAGAAACTGTTAAAGAAAACTACCAAAATAAGGTCCGTTAAATGAACCGTATTCCTCCGAACTTTAATTCCTAAAGGTTTGCTTTTTATGTTTTGATGTTGAATTCACTTTTTTGACGGCAAATTTGGGTGTACTCTTTTGGTTTTTTTATATTGGGGGTGCGGCTTATAGTCCGGTGCGGCTTATTTGTTAATGTTGGCGTATTTTTTTTTAAATGGCGGGTGCGGCTTATAGTCCGAAAAATACGGTAGTTTTTACTTCCTCAGTTTTAGGGGGGGTTTGTAAACTGCTATATAGTTGCGAGGAGGGGTAGTGAGCCCCCTCACAGTGGAGAACAGACGCGATGCTCTACCAAAGTCATACAGTCTTCCATCAGCACTCAGCAGCTGGGAGGACAGGGAACCTTGGCCTGTTCAGAACTAAATGAAGTCATTAACACGGCAAAAAAAAAAAAAGAAAAAGAAAAAATAATCAGCAGCAAATTAAAATAGAAACATTAAAGTGCCTGTGATGTGAGTTTTTTAAAAATAAATATAAAAGGCATTATTGGAAAGATAATATTTATATAATGCAAAAATAATTTCTTGCTGCTGAGATGAACAGTTGTGGAAATATTTGCATGTGAAGCAACAGGAAGTGATGTCAAAGGGGAATGCCTGAATGGAACAAAGCATTGATAAAATAACTAACGACACACACTGTAGAGAAGAATCTGAGGTTTCTTTAGATTATTTTGAGTCTCTATTAGAGAGATGAAGACGAGTCAGAGTTCAAATAATATTGTTTCAATAAGCAAAGACCACAGAGTTCTTTCTTAAAAAGTTCCCCTTTGATGTCACTTCCTGTTGCACTTCGGCTGAGCCAAGTTCAAAAGAAAATATGACATTTATGTGATAAAATGGGTAAAATCACATGTTTTATGCAAGGTTTCTTATAGAAAAATGTGTTTTCTTTGACTTTTTGTATTCGATGGGTAGGCATGTCACAGGCACTTTAAAATACGAGTCAAACAAAAAGAAAACATCTCTGGAGTCCTACTTGTCCGTAGATTTTCCCAGCCATTTCTTTTGCAGCTTGAAGTGTTTGAAAATTTGTATTCCAGATGCAGAGAAAATCTGAAAACAGACAATCATAAACTGCTGTCAGCGCATAAAAGTCATTTTAATCCTCAGATTAAGAGTCTTATTGTAACCATGTTTTCTGGTAATGAACCATCCATCCATCCATCCATTTTCTGTACACGCTTCTTCCTTTTCAGGGTCGCGTGGGGTAATGAACCAGAATGAGCTAATTTTAATAATATATAATTAGCATTTACCTTTTCTACCCCCAACCCTTTTTTTTGTACTTTAAATATTCAAGATATTTTCAAACACACATAACTCAAACTCTGTCCACTTTACCTTTCCCTGGTCCTGCAGAGGGGTGTGGAGCTCCCACCACGGCTACATGGGCATCATCTAGGATGATGGCCGACGCCACTTCCAGCAGCTCCTCGCCCACAGGAAGAGCCAGCAGCAGGCTGCGTGGCAGCCGAGGAGCCTCGGCCCCTTCTTCGGCCGCTGGACCCCGAACGGAGATCGAACTCCGGTAGACATGACCGTTGGGGTCTGTGCGCCACAAAACATGAAAGGAAAACAAAAAATAATAATCCAAAAATGTGTATCTGCTTCTCGGATTCTGCTGTCAGACACCTACACTGAAACTCTTTATGGATTAGGATTTGACGGCTTACAGAGATAAAGCAGGCAGACGTGTTTATTCTTGTAGGAGGCAGAGAAGCGGAGCGGGGAGAGGCCCGGCTCCTCCCTCTCCAGCCGGTACCTCTGTAAAGAGTTGGGGTTCAGTCTGTGCAGGTAGAGGAAATGTTCTCCTTTCTGTGGGCAGACACACTCAGTCAAACTTAATATCTAGAGAAAAGAAAAGTTAGAGACCTAAAGCACTTTAAGACAAGCTTGTTCAATCTGTTTCATTTATTAGCTTTTAGGTTCCTGCTATTATTACCAGTTCAGACGTAAAAAGCAGCAGCTGCTGTGTTTCGGTCACTATGCTGGTGCTCCACCTACAGACAAAAACAACAACGCATAAGACGACCAGAAAGCCTGAACTGCAGCTCTGAACGTATCTGGAAGTGACCCAGAGGAACAGTCGGCGCAGTCTCTTCCATGTCGTTCAGCGGTGGGCAAAGACAAACTGCTCATTGTGTCACGATACACACCTGATAGCCTCGTCCGGAGCCAGGACATCCTCTACGGGCTGCTGGGGAGCAGAGAGCAGTGAGTCCAGCAGCCTCAAAGCCCCTCTCTGAAACAAAACCACAGGGTCCCCTCCATGTGCCGAATGTACCACCCAGACATCTGCTGACACCTGGCGTAAAAAGGAGGTAGAAGGTAAAGCACCCGGGTTGGTTGCATTATGCTAATTTTAAAAGAATTATCAGTGTGAGTTCTCAATAATTACAAAACAACAACTGTGGATGAAAAAGAGTATTTGAGCTGTGCAATGTCCCAATAAAACAGACTATTCGGCACATTCAAACTTACTGTTGCTTTGAAGGCTTTGTCCAGTACGACATCATCTTCTTTCCAAATTCTTATCACCTGAAATGCAGCAAGAAAGTCTTTGTTTTGTGTAACAAATCCAAAAATCTCGTTGGTGCAGACAACTTCATTACACAGATGGCTTAAGCAAAGAAAAAAGTACGTAAAATATATATGTAATTAAAAAGGTTATTAAAGAAACAAATGCACTGCCTATGCTTAAAGCTAACGCATTATCTGACATCTATTCCTGTAAGAGTGGCTACACACAAACAGCTGCACCAACTTGATGCATTAAATTGCCACTTTGCTGTTGCTGAAAATAAATGAAGTTACCTTGTTGTCAGAGACTGCAATATATTCCTTAGTTTTTGTGTTGTAGACGGCTGAACAGGTCAGTGTTTGTCCTTGTTTCACCATCCAGCTGCCCAGAGGCTTCTGGTCTGACACCTGAAAGCAACTACATTTATCATAGGAGCAGAGCTGTAAAGTAACTAAGTACAAATACTTTGTTACTGTACTTAAGTAGAATTTTTGGGCATCTGTACTTTTACTTGAGTAATTATTTTTCAGCCTATTTTTACTTCTACTTCTTACATGTTCACACAATTATCTATTTTCTACTCCTTACATTTTTTTAAAAAAGGCAAGAAGTAGAAAGTCGTTACTTTTATTTCATTTTTGCTTGTTTTTATTCCAGGTTGTTATTGTAAAAAATAAATACTATTCATATAAACTGTGCCTCCTATAGAGTGAATTTAATTGTGGTTGAACGAGAAGTATAAATATATAAAATTTTGATACCGTGTTAGTTTGTACACAAACAAATCATGTCACACTCCAGCAGGACATAATCATTAAAATAAAAGGACTGTACTTAAGAAGTATTTGTAT